GGTCAGATTACTGAGATTGTACTGTACATTAAAAATATTCTGTTATGTTACTGTTGAATGGTAAAATAAAAAATAAGCTTCAAAAACTATTTACTTATATTTAAAACAAAATAATAATAATAATAATAATAATAATAATAATAAATTATTATTTTAAACATAAATTATTAAATTAGATATATTTTTATTAATTAATTTTTAACTTAAATCTCACTAAATTAACAATTAAAATAATAATAATAATAATAATTGTCCTAAATTGTATTAATAGTTAAATTATGCTAATAAATTTTAATACTAGTTATAAAGTGAGCATCACTTAGTATTTGAATTTATGAATAAATTTAGTTAAATAATTATGGACGAATTTGCACCTAAGCTAAACAATTAAGACCTGGATTTATGAGTTTATAACTTAGGGCCTTAGGGCCTCACATTTTTACATGTGCCATTATTTAAGTGGAGGAGAGAGGCCTGTTATGTGTTACAGCATAGGGCCACAAGTCAAAGTCTACCGATTCGACTGTAATAAGTTGTAATTATTAATAAGTTTTGTTATATTTTTATACGAAAATATGGAAAGAATATTATTAATTGGGAAATTCTCTATTAATGTGAATAGTAATTACAGGTAAGAACTTTTAATTTAAAATAAAATTAAATTAACAAAATAAAAAAAAACAGTATTAATTTAATTAGAAATTCTGTTTAAAATGGCGATAAGAATTTTATATAAAAAAATAAAAAGGAAAAAAGGGGATGAAGGGCAAATCGTTTCTAACGAGTCGCAATGTAAAAGGAACTAATAAACACCTCGTTTTTTCCGATAGAAAAACGCTAAATTACGAGTTTAAACAAAGTCAAAGATCAAATAGCAAGACTAACAACGACTAGTCGGGATATAACGAGTCTTATTTATTATCGTGGGAACTGGCTTTTCATGTTCGTTTCGCATACAGATCATTCGCTGCATAATGCTCTTTATTTACAATTGTGTAAAGTTTTTCTCTTTCACTCGTTACTTCTCTATTGACTTAACAAAAGACGAAAACGTAAATGACAAATTGAAGCACTTTCGTATTAAAACTCGACTCAACACAGCACGCACGCACGCACGCACGCACGTCAAGCACAAATTGCTCGGAAAATGTCTGAAGTCTACGAGTTTAATTAAGATAAATCGATGAATTAACTGTGTTAAATGACGTATTAACTAGTTTTAATTAGTACGATAAGTTCGGAAGTATATCAAACTCGTTAGATTCTACTTTCCTCTCCTCATTTTGCATCGTAAAAAAACTGTATAAATAAATAAATTCGATGAAAATTAAGACGGTAACGGGGTTTACATTAGTGGTCTGACAGACGTTAGACTTTTTTCTGAATAGATGTGTAAAAAAATAAAATAAATTAATAGTTATAGTGTGAGAAAAAGGTAAAAAGAAAGCATTGCTAGAATAGGAGGGAGGAGGAAAAACAATTGAATTGCAAAAATAAAGGAGTCTATTCACAAAAAGTTGACTATATTACAACTGAAGCGGCGTATTAAATGAAAATCATGAATAAAATCAACAGAGATTATTAGAATATATTATTTAAAAAAAAGTAAGAATGGTTGAAATAGCGTAAATTTACTTCTTTGTTTCGGTTGATAATGGAATAGAGAAATAAAAAAAATCAAAATAAAAATGGCTTTATTTTAGAAATAAAAATAAACAGAAATAAGTTGAAGTAAAATTTTAATATTAAGTTTAAATGGAATGAAATGAATACATCATAAAGGGAAAATTATATGAAATATACTGAAATTACTATATTAGAGAAATAAAAATAATTGAATAGACTATAAAATAAGTTATAAGAATAAAATCAGACGAAAGAAGTTACTGCTTTAGAAAAATTCTTTCAAAAATGAATGTTGAAAAACAATAATGTAAAGGTTAGATATATTGAACTTTATACTGCATACCATTTGAAATATATATATATATATATAGTAAGTTAATTAAAATATATAAATATAAGTTAATAACAGAATACTTGATGCAGAAAATAATAAATAAAAGAAGGAAAGAAATAGATTAAGTGAAGAATAGAGGGAAAAAAACAGTAAAGTGTAAGAAATAACAGGAAAACTTTATAAGGAAAGCATTTTTTAACTGTATGAGGTCATGTTACGCTTTGAGAGTGCCGTTCTTTTCTTAATTTTGGTAATATAAATATATTTTATTGAATTTTTTTTTTTGTTTTAAACTTTTATAAGCGGGTTAACCTCGAAATTGAAACCGAAATTGTGATTCGAGTATTGCCTCGATTAGTCTTTCACTATACTGTATATAAATACAGTTTTTTTTTTTTCTTTTTTTTTCTTTGGCATTCATCGAAAACTATAAATTTTCTTTTGACAGTTGTTTCATTTCAATTCTTTTTCAGGAAATCTCCTCCGGGTTCAAAGTTCAAATTCCTAAAACAAGATTTTTTAAAATAAGATTCATTAATTCGTGACCTCATTACTGTTACACGAATTTCTCTTTTATGTTTTGGTCTATAGTAAAAAAAAAAAAAATTTCTATTTATTTTTTTTTTCTTTCCCCCTCTGTAGTATGTTTTTAATATAAACGAAATTTATAAAGAATCGGTAGTTTATTTAGTTTAGAAGGAAACGACCAATTAAACATCAATGGAGCGAATCCTAATAAACATTAAGAGGCTGGTTAATGTCGTAAAACAGTTCCAATTAACATACTAGGTTAAAGAGAAACAAACAATTCACAGCATGTGATAAATTATTACAGTGCTTCCGACAAGTAGTAGTATTTTTTTTTTTAAGGAATATCTAGAAACCCACCTGCACCAAAAGCAAAAAAGTAGCTTGTATCCGGATAGGTATTAAGCAACTGGACTACGCGATCTCCCATTCTTTTATTTCGCTTGTATATGAGTTCCTCTCGGAAATACCGGTCAATATTCCTGGCGACAGCAACTTCCTGCGAAGTCATAGTTGTACTGTTTAAGTGGGGCACTTGAGTCGAATCTTGACTGAATACCACGGAGTTAAGATCTCCGCAATTATAATGCTTAATCAGATCGTCTGTTGTATAGAATGCTTGAATATCTCCAGATCTTATACTTTCCTGTTGATAGAGTGTTTGATTCAAAGCGAATAAAACCTGAATAGAAAAAAAAGAATTGGTACGTTTTAGATCCTTATTTTCATATACAGATAAATACGCAATACATTAAGATTTATAATAGATAATTAAATATTATTTATACAGATTAAGATGATAATGTTTCATCTTTATTTATGTAAACTGATGTGGCGTAAAAGATAAAATCGGAAAAGGAAACAATGAATAAATGTCTCAATTCCATAAAATAGCTTTAATCTATTAAAATGGAACATCTAAATAATCGATAATGACGTCACTATGTGTGTGTGTGTGTGTGTGTGTGTGCTTAATAGGCTTCATTTCCGGTTCCTGTCATCGTGTCATTTCCGAAATGACGTCATTCGATACAAAGGATCATCATCTGCTTCATTTCCATCATTGTTTTCGAATATTTCCAAGTCATAAAACGTTTATTCTATGCCGTATGGTGGATATTTGCATATGAATCGCGTTTAGATAAGATTTTTAGCACTTTTACTTGGAAATAGAGAGTAAAATAGATTAGCCCCTGTAAAAAGGTTGTTGCGCTTCTCATTCCCGTTAACGGAAAAGCCCTCTTACAGACAAAGATGGAAAATATTTTAAAAATTATTTTAAACGTTTCAATAAACTTTTATAACACATATATAATGTAATTTCCATTTAAATTAAATTTTAAAATAGGATAAGAATACTTAACTTTATAATACGAAATTTTAAGTAAAGAATGTTTTTTAAAAAAAAAAAAAAAAAAGCTATAAAAGCATGGATGTTCTGCCTAATCAGTTTGGAACTATCAGTTAATCTTTGTACAGTCAGCATAAAATGAGTAAAAATGCCTTGTTTAACTTGGTTTTCGATCAGAATGATCTTTAGAAAATCATACATTTTATTTATCCATGAATGTCAAGTAAAACTTTAAAAAAAAAAACCTATTAGTTAATGTAAAACTGAACTTAAATTTATTTTGATTCATCTATTTTACATTATTTTTCTAGTTAAAGAAAGCTATGAGTCAGTTGTTTTAAATGTTTATTTTTATTTTTATATACGCTCGACTTTAGACTATGAACGGTACGATGTTCTTCAGTTTAGTAATTTTAAAAATAATTTATAAATCAATCCTGGACAGTATTTATCCGTAATAAATCATTCCAAATGATTATAATTGATAAAATATTTACATAAAAATAAAATTACCTGAGTAAAATCCAAACCATTTAATGGTACGCATTGTTCTTCAACTTTTTCAACGGCTCCTGTACCTTTATTCATCCTCTCGGCTTCTTGAGCCAAATATAGATCTAAAACAGGTATGCCACGCGATTTGACATCACTTTCTGTTAAAGAATTGACCATCAACATTACCCAGATGGGCCTCTTTCTTTCCCAATTTCCCGTGATGGCATTGAAGAGATAATCAGCATATAAACCTCTTCCCCTTTGATCCGCCGTCATCCATGAAGGTAACATTCCTTTCACGTAATCCAAGTGGCGTTTCAATCTTCTATAAAGATCTTCCGGTAACACATCAACTAAATTTTTTCCCTGAGGCAGCATTTGACAATTGGACAAAGTCGAGATAGTTTTTGGATCTATCAAATCTAGTTCGAAGTATATGGTATCGCTCGATTCGAAAGCTACTTTGACGTTTTCGGGTATATAATCCCAAACTCGAGTATACGGAACGTGAATTGTGCCGAAGAAATACGATGGAGGATCCTTCTTTACCATCCAAAGAAATGACATATATTCTTCACTCTGTAAAACAATAAATAAGTTGACTGAAACGGCCATTATTACTCTGAAGAAATATAAGATTTTCCGTATCCAAATAGTTTAAAAGCCAGTAAAAAAAAAAAAAAAAAAAAATTATTTACCTTTTAAAATTAATTAACTGAAAGAATTTAAATTATGTGTTTATTCATTGAATAAATCCGCTTAATTGAAAATATTTATCAAAGACGAAATGGGATTCTTATTTTTAAAAGTTACATCCTTGACACCATTGTTTTTCTTCTCTAATTTAAAACGAGTATGGAAAATAATTAAATGTTTTCTATATACTAGTTTTTTTTTTTTAAATTAANCCCCCCTATAACACTGTTGATTATTCCGTTTTATATGAATTCCATGTTGTACGAGTCACTTAGGTTTTACAAATACGTGAGCCGTTCACAGCCCAGCACACGTATTTGTAAAATCTAAGTGACTCGTACAACATGGAATTCATATAAAACGGAATAATCAACAGTGTTATAGGGGGTCGACTGGTATATTGATTTTTAAGGTGTGAATTGATTTTTTGACCTCCATTTTCTGTATTTTGTTACATTATAGAAAAAATTATATAAATTAATCTGTAAAAAATCTTGTGTATTTTAATTTAAAGAAGAAGAAGAAAAGAGTTTCTTGTTTAAAGTAATAATGTAAAATATGAATTAAATAAAAAGGAGTAGGTAATTTATATAATCCTACGTCATAAAGTCTTGTTTATATGATGTAAATGTGAAAGAGTTTCCATTAATTAAAGGTTTTATCTGTGTTTAAGTAGGTAAAATATATATAAGAGCTAACCTAGTTGAAAGGAGGAGGAGTAACATTAAAATTTAGGTTAGAGTAAAATAATAATAATAACATTGGAAGAAAGTAAAATAACGTTAGATGTAAATTCCATTAGGGACATTGCTATACAATTAGTAAACAAGTCATAGATGGACTACAACTTGTTGAATGGTTGGGAACAATAGATCGGCCGACATCAAGGAATCGTGCATTATTAGGTGAAGGACGATTCCGAGAAAAGGGGCTTGTCCAAGGCCAAATATGTAGTTCAACCGTGATTAACAGTTAAAATTGAACCGATCTTTCCTATACGCACGCGATAATTAAATTAAAATTACATATTCTTCCTTTGTCGTTCCTCTTTTACGCCATTTAAAACAAAATAATAATAATAATAATAATAATAATAATAAAAAAAAAGATATATGTATATATTTTTTATAATAATAATAAAAAAAATCTCTTAGATAAATAAAAAATAAGCAGAAACGAGATGATATTTTTCAGATATTGATATAAGTTACGAGATGTTGGATTCTATATAAAGAAACCGTTCGGAGATTAGGAGATATGTAACAAAACACGTTCGAGAGGAGCAAAAATAAACAATCTGGAGTTATATGGGAAGAGGGGGAGAGAAAAAAAAAGAAAGATGAAAGTTCGAAAGTTGGTTTGACTGACAACCTATCTCCTTTGATCAAGAAGCGGAAGAACAGAAGATTTCGGTAAATCTAAAATATTAAACTGACCCGAACATAACTAGATCTAATGATTGATTAGTTTTAGTCTGGCACAAGGCCAGATAGGTACAGTACGTAATGTTGTTCCTTCCTCCACTTACTTTTCTGTTCGTCAAACAAACTTAAAAGCTTAAAAAAAAAAAAAAACATATTTTAAGAGATTTATAAATTATAAAAATTAATTAATTTTTCATATATCGAGATAAAATGGGATAAATGCGGCAATAGTAAAGTTTTGATGTTGAAGATGCACTAATGGAATGATATTATGGACTTTTTTTTAAATTTATTTACAGTATTAATAATTAACGAACTTTTTCCATTATTATTATTAATACGAGGTTATTATATGTAATCTAAATCATCATTTAATATTTTAGAAGTATTGAGAAACATAGATATATTACTTATTAATTCAAGAAAGTTTTATAGCCTAATTGTTATTAGATTGCTGTAATCTTTCTAATATAAAATATACTTTTTGATAGCAACAGATAGGTGCAAACAGATATTGTCAATAAAGAGTTTAGCGATTGGGTGTGCCTTCATATGTAATATTAGGTCATATATCTTAGGATAATCACCTATCCACAAGAGAGACGGAGAGATTTATTGAAGATATAAAGATAATTTAAAATAGCATCTTATGAAATTTGATAATTTTCATAAACTCTTAACATATTCCCTTAAAGATTTAAAATTCCGATCGATAAATCGATAAATGATAAAGTAAGAGAAGCGGTGGATCCATCAAGATATTAAGTTTTGTATGTTTAACGCCCGAAAAGTACAGATTTCGAAAAATGACTCCACCCAAAAAATGGATTGTTCATTTTTTTAGCGATTGTTTAAAGATATCTTTGGGTCAAGTTTGGGAGATGAGAAAGAGTTTTAAAAGTCATCAACCTCTTTGCCTTGACCTTTTCAACGAAGTAAATCGAGATAAAAACGAATTAAAAACAAATTTATAGAAATTCTTCTTATAAAAAAAAATTACATAACAAATGAACTCAAAATTGAATAGAATTGATTAAGTTTAGAATTATTATCTCGTGTAATAACTTGAAAATATCGTACAATACATCAAATTTCATGTTTTAGGTTAAGTCAATGTCTCACTCATAAAATAGGCTATATATAAAGTATATTAAAATTAAATTAAGCATTTTAAATGTCATATAAATCTTAAAATTTTATATGTTTTATAATAGGCTGTAATTAATTAAATTATACAACGTGAACCAAAACTCTTCGAAGGTTTCTTTCTCTGTAACATTTTCTATTTTTTANATTTATTATCGTGGGAACTGGCTTTTCATGTTCGTTTCGCATACAGATCATTCGCTGCATAATGCTCTTTATTTACAATTGTGTAAAGTTTTTCTCTTTCACTCGTTACTTCTCTATTGACTTAACAAAAGACGAAAACGTAAATGACAAATTGAAGCACTTTCGTATTAAAACTCGACTCAACACAGCACGCACGCACGCACGCACGCACGTCAAGCACAAATTGCTCGGAAAATGTCTGAAGTCTACGAGTTTAATTAAGATAAATCGATGAATTAACTGTGTTAAATGACGTATTAACTAGTTTTAATTAGTACGATAAGTTCGGAAGTATATCAAACTCGTTAGATTCTACTTTCCTCTCCTCATTTTGCATCGTAAAAAAACTGTATAAATAAATAAATTCGATGAAAATTAAGACGGTAACGGGGTTTACATTAGTGGTCTGACAGACGTTAGACTTTTTTCTGAATAGATGTGTAAAAAAATAAAATAAATTAATAGTTATAGTGTGAGAAAAAGGTAAAAAGAAAGCATTGCTAGAATAGGAGGGAGGAGGAAAAACAATTGAATTGCAAAAATAAAGGAGTCTATTCACAAAAAGTTGACTATATTACAACTGAAGCGGCGTATTAAATGAAAATCATGAATAAAATCAACAGAGATTATTAGAATATATTATTTAAAAAAAAGTAAGAATGGTTGAAATAGCGTAAATTTACTTCTTTGTTTCGGTTGATAATGGAATAGAGAAATAAAAAAAATCAAAATAAAAATGGCTTTATTTTAGAAATAAAAATAAACAGAAATAAGTTGAAGTAAAATTTTAATATTAAGTTTAAATGGAATGAAATGAATACATCATAAAGGGAAAATTATATGAAATATACTGAAATTACTATATTAGAGAAATAAAAATAATTGAATAGACTATAAAATAAGTTATAAGAATAAAATCAGACGAAAGAAGTTACTGCTTTAGAAAAATTCTTTCAAAAATGAATGTTGAAAAACAATAATGTAAAGGTTAGATATATTGAACTTTATACTGCATACCATTTGAAATATATATATATATATATAGTAAGTTAATTAAAATATATAAATATAAGTTAATAACAGAATACTTGATGCAGAAAATAATAAATAAAAGAAGGAAAGAAATAGATTAAGTGAAGAATAGAGGGAAAAAAACAGTAAAGTGTAAGAAATAACAGGAAAACTTTATAAGGAAAGCATTTTTTAACTGTATGAGGTCATGTTACGCTTTGAGAGTGCCGTTCTTTTCTTAATTTTGGTAATATAAATATATTTTATTGAATTTTTTTTTTTGTTTTAAACTTTTATAAGCGGGTTAACCTCGAAATTGAAACCGAAATTGTGATTCGAGTATTGCCTCGATTAGTCTTTCACTATACTGTATATAAATACAGTTTTTTTTTTTTCTTTTTTTTTCTTTGGCATTCATCGAAAACTATAAATTTTCTTTTGACAGTTGTTTCATTTCAATTCTTTTTCAGGAAATCTCCTCCGGGTTCAAAGTTCAAATTCCTAAAACAAGATTTTTTAAAATAAGATTCATTAATTCGTGACCTCATTACTGTTACACGAATTTCTCTTTTATGTTTTGGTCTATAGTAAAAAAAAAAAAAAAAAAAAAAATTTCTATTAAGCTAACGTGTCATTAAAAGAAAATTAAAGCTTGTTTTGCATTGTAATCTAAATTGTGTTTTTAACTTTTGATAGTTAAATTATGCTAATAAATTTTAATACTAGTTATAAAGTGAGCATCACTTAGTATTTGAATTTATGAATAAATTTAGTTAAATAATTATGG